ATGAAGATAAACTCAATGGCCGAGTTAAGAAGGATCTTAGAAAAGAAACACACTCCATAAATCTTAAATTGTTGTCATTAAACCCAAAACACACATCAATTTTAAGTTTACATTGAGCCCCACCCCTTCTCACCTTCCAGACAGTGGTCTGAGGGAGCTGGAGCCTGGCCACCCAAATATAATCAGTCACCCACAAAAGACAGGGGAAAAAAAAAAAAAAAAAGTTTTTAGTGCTGATCAGCAAATCCTGCTATAATTTCATTAAAGCTCTTCTACTTAGTGACTATGAAAGTCCTGCCGTGTCCCTGTGAATTTTCAGACTAAATACCTCCTAGCAAGTGAAATGCATACTGAAGTAATAGATTAGCAGTTCTTAGCTTCCTAAAAGGAAACCTGGTTTGTAGATTTTTCTATGTATTTAAGAAAACTACTTTTAGATCCGTCTTCCTATTCACACTCAGGCTTTTAATTTCTAGTTCACCATCACTTCATCGCTCTGCTTGGGCTTGGTTTTTCTGAGAACATTTGAGGGATTCATCCTCCATACTTGTAAATTATATGGGGCTTCATTTTTTTTTTTTTTCAGAAAAGGAGAATAAAAGTAAAGAGCTAGAAGGGTTGACTGTGCAGGGTTGCTGTTTTGGTTAGTCTGAGTCTTGAATTCTGGAAAAAGCACTGACCATAACCTGAAACTGAGATTATTTCTGAAAATATTTAATGCTGTTTTCCCCACCACGTCCTTGCCACCATGGCCTGAGCTATGCTCTCGTGTGACCCCGAGCGCTTGCTTGCTGTCACCCAGCTCAGCTCCCCTCGGCTCAAAGCCGCCTGTTCACACAGGCTTCGAGCACTGAACCTTTCCGATAGGAAAGAACATCTCGGCAAAGTGTGGCAGCTCAGCAAAAGCCATTTCCAAATGACTCACTGCAAGGTGCTCCAGGAGGTGAGAACTTGCATGGCGCAGATTATCAGCTTTCTCTCCTGCTGACTAATTCCCCGGTATGAAGTGAAATTCTCAGACCATATTGTGCTTTTGATTAGCGCTGCCAGAGATAGGGAAAGCAGCAACATGTCCAGACACTGGCAGCAGATTTCAAAGACACAAACCCATAGAAACTACCTCCAACAAGAATGGTTCTGCCTCCAGTAATGAAACTCAGCTTGAGCTCTCCCTCCTCACTCCCCCGTCCAGGGGCAGCCCTGTCCCAACATGTGCATTCTCTAACTTCAGGGGTTAAAAAGCCAAATGTAATAAACCCAAACTGAAGCTTTTGCCACCTCCTTCAGATGACCTTCCCATGGCTTAACACAGCAGCGTGTGGCCTTGCTGTCCACACAGGAGGTGGGGGTGCTCAGAAAGCCCGGGACAGGGACTGGTTTGCCCAGGACAGGGACTGGTTTGCCCTGGTGGGAGCAGGGACTACTTTAGGAGTGCTTTTCAGAAGAAATGCTCAGCTCTGCAAAGGAAAGTACTTTCCAAGATTATCATGTGCTGAAATACCCACCTACCCAATTAACTGCTTTCAAAGATTTTTGTTCTTTTTTTCCCAGTTTGAAGACAATGTGAACAGCATGGTTTACAACCTGAGCTCAAGTTTAAAATGGAAATTAAACATTTTTCTACTTCCACTTTCAAAGACCTTCAGGCTCATGCTTTATATGTTTTACATATCTGCACCTTTATATGTTTTACATATCTGCACATTTTATATCTTGGCAAAAAAAAGCAACTTCTTAAATATCCCTCCTTTATGGGGCAAAACTTAACACAGTCACTGGGGCTTCAGTGAATTTCTCTTAAGTACCGATGCAATGGATGAGGAACACTTCCTATTTACTAATGAATTATTAATATGACATGCTGAGAAAACCAAAAAACCCTTTAGAGTCAGTTTGCTGACTGTTTTATCTGGCACAGTTTTGTTATTGGAGCCTGCCAGGGTCAGACTGTGGTCGAGATGACCACACTCACCTTTGAGGGGCCTCTGAAGGAAATACAGACAGGCCTAGAGGGAAACTATTTAGCTAAAATACAAAGTCCACAGCTAATTTATGCAAATATTTATGCACAATTTATGCTAATGTATCCCATGAAGTTGATAGACTCTAGCCATCCATCATAAATCTCAGGCACTGCCTGGCTGCACGGAGCCCATAAGGAGGGTGGGTCGTTCTGATGGGGCTCCGTGCCAGAACAAGGATCTTCCCAGGACGTCTCAGCACAGGATCAAGGCCCCAGTTTGTACCAGACAAAATCCAAAACAGGCCTGAGTTTGTTCAGAAAAAATCCCTGCTTTCTGCTCGGCCTGCAGATGTACATTTTGGCTGCAGAAAAAGCAGCTGAAGGGAAGACTTTGTTTTCAACTACAAAGTTGGAAAAAGCTGGGAAAATGAAGCTAATGAAAACTGATGGCCTATCGTTCCAAACCACAGCAAACCTCCGGGCTCCACGCAGAGAAAGCAGCGGCCTTGGGTGATAAATTGATTGTTTTCCTGTTAGCTATGGAATTTGTTAGCGTTGTAAAACTGCTGTCCATGCTGAGGACTCCTCCTGTTATTCTCTTGAACCAAGAGAATAATAAAAGGCTTCTCTGGAAATTCTTTACATCTCCATTTTAAACAGATGGCTGCTGAACTCCGTAAGGTCAGCAGTACACTGTCTGATTATCACCACGTGGCTCCTTTAAGCAGAATAAATTAGAAAAAGGCAAAAAAAATCACCAAAAAGACAGCCCAAGACTTGCTTTCTGCAGAAGAGCTTGGTGCAACCACACATGGATTTCAATTTTGAAGAATCACAGGACACACTTCCCTGACTGATAGCAATTGTTGGAAAGCAAAAATAAACGCATGTGACTCATCATTCATGCAGGTCTAGGGGACAGAGCACCATATCCCTCACGTGGGAAGGCAATTTGGTGAAGGAGACTCAACAAACTGAAAAGACTTAATCATGATTCAGTGCTGTGTTCCCACACACTTACAGTGGGACCCACGCTCACGTGCCAGGTGTTTGATTTGGAAGGAAGACACGCTCCCTAAATAGACACCAAGATGATGTTTGGATGAGCATAAGGGAATCTAATAAGACAAAAGTATATCAAAAGAAAATAGCTAAGTGGAATTTAAAAGTCAAAAGCTGAAAAGTCTTTAAAGAGAGAGAGTATCTTGTCTTGCTAGCATGAGAGGAGATTTTCTCCTGGTAAATGTCAGTGTAATTTCATTTACCTACTGGAACTAAACCAGTTTATTCCAGTGAAGGTCTCAACAACCAGATTGCTTTCCCTTTTTAAATAATGCAAGAGCTATCTTCGTCCGTGCCTGTACAAAGTCTGCCAGCAGCGGGAAGGGGCCTGGCAGTACTGGGTAAGGACAGTATTGGTTTTGTTTCAGCAGCTTGGTGCCCACGTTGCCAAGCCAGACCCCGACAAGGCACTCGCCAGTTCCTGCTTCCAGTCCTTCTGCCTGGCAGCACATGGCAGGCAGCTCCTTGCCAAAACAAGTCCTACCACGGCGCGGCTTTGGACCAACACTGCCACTGAACTTCCTTATTAACCAGCCTGGTGTAATGAGAGGGCAGCAGATCCCAACCATGGCAAATCAGCTGCCTACTGCTGTAGAGGATATGGCAGCTCTGGCTGGGGTGGGAGAGGAGAAAGCAGGGATTTTAGCTAATTATTCTTAACCTCCAAGCATCCCTACGATGCACACTGTCAGTTTGACATCCCTGCTGTGGTGTAAGCAGAAATGTCCTCACTTTTCTCATTGCCACATGGTCCTGGCTCACCACTGATGAGAAGACGGACACGTCAGGGGGTGATGGAGGTAAGACAATCTCTATTTGCCGTTCCCCTCCCTTTTGGCCCAGACTTGCTGCTCACCGTTTAAGTCTGGTCTCTTTACCTGTGTCTGGTTTTAATCAAACCTGTCGGCACAGAGACCCTGACCTTCTGAAAAGCCTCCAGTCCCCGCACTGTCATTAAAATGATTTGTCTAATGCTGCCCCATCAGGACGGATTTCAGGGAGGAGAAAGTGCAAACTCCCAGAGCTGGTGGAAAATGCAAATAAATGAAGCATCAGTCTGGCACAGATAGCTGTCACTCAGACTGATCTCACCTGCTGGAAGGATCTAATCAAACATGGTCTGCCTCCAAGATACAAGGCTGGGAAATAAAGCTTTAAATGGTGTTTTCATACATGCTGGAATGGCTCAATTTATGCTTTGTTTTGTTTGTGAAATAGCTGGTTTTTAAAATGAAATGCTAATACTGCTACAAATAATTAATGTTATCTGACTCTATCAAATTCTAGGAGGGGGTGATTAGATTCAAAACAGCAGAGACATTTCTAATCTCAGTGATATGAGACAGTATAAAAACAATGCCTATGTTCTTAGATAACCTTTGCTCTCAGTCTTTTGCTGAACATCAGTGCTCCCAAGGCTAGTGTATGTTTATTTCTTAAGCTGAAATGTAACACTTTGCCCATATGTTGATATTAAAACAAAAATTTCACTTCCGAACTCTTTAATCTTTTTATTCATGTGTTCTGTCGCTCTCAGACAGGGATTGTGAGTACCAGACACTGACTTATATAAAATAATTGACTGTATTTTTTCTCTTCTGAACTAATTCACCACATTTTCTCCCTATCTATCATCTAGATGAATGCACTGTGTTTTCTATCTATCACCCTGCTAAGGTACTCATCACTGGGGTATGTGGCCAGCAGATAAAAAGTATAATGATGCTATATTAAATAAAGAAAATCGATGTTCCACTCGCAGTAAAACCAAGCCAAATTCTAACAAGTGGGTCGCCACAAGGAGAGTTTGGCCCTCCCTTTCAAGCAGACAGCTCTTCTGAAGCAGCTCTCCCAGCCTGTGGTATTCATAGGCCTTTCCTTACAGTGCTGTACGGCCTGGGAAAACCAGGGTTCATCTCCTGTCCACCCTCTGCCCCAGCCCTCCTTGCTGGGGCTCATGCAGCCCTCCCTGCCGATGCCCAGGCTGAGCCCAGGACTTCTTGTCCCTGTCATTGTGGACCTGGAGACCCAGGTGCTGCACTCGGGTGAGCCAAAAGAAGACTTGAAAGCCATGAGATTTAAGAGCCTGTCATCTGGTTTCTGTGCCTTGAATGGCTCAGACCCGGCCAGCATTTGCCAGCAAGTTCTCCTTGGTCAGAGTCTGGGTTAGAAGCTGCATTCCAGGGGCAGACCCACAGCTTTGAGGGTTATTAAATGACTCTAGAAGCTGGATCATGCAAACAGCAGTAAATATGACAAAACTACATATACTGAAGAGGTTTTGTGAATATCGGCATGATTCATAGAGGTAAGAAAAGCAACTCAGGATCCTCAGATGCAGTATTTCTTGGATGTAAAGTAGTGCACCAGTTAAGGTCGTTGGTGTGATTTTTTATGGGATGGGAGTACTCCAAACTGCAGGACTGGGGTCTGGGATCCAAAACGCAGTGAAAGCAACCCCCTGCTGCTTCAGAGACAATTCATGTCCATAGTGAATAAAAAAATGTCCATAGTGAATAAAAAAAAAAGGAGATCCATTTTTTAAGCTAGTCTGTCCTGAGAATGGGTAGCTCAGGCCAATGCCCCTCTCATGTACCATATAAACTTTAATGTAATACCACTCCATTTCAGCTATGTTTTTTTCCCCGTCATTGCAAAATGTTGAATTAGTTAAATGCTAGATGGTGTTTCCTGACTGTGTGACTGATTGCTTGCCTCTGTGCATGGCTGGTTATTTGTTAGCAGTGAGCACTTCAAAGCCTAGCAGCCAGTCCAGCTGCCCAGGAAAGTGGCTCAGCTCTCTGCCCATCCCACCACGTTAGCTAAGAGAAACATCTTTTGGCACTTCACAACAGAGATATGAAAAGTGACTGCACTGCTTTTGATGCAGAGGCACCATGTCTCCCTGCCAGCCAGCATATCCAGATATTTTCTTTGTGGAAATTGGGACAAAGATGTGAGGGGAAGGGGAGTAAATTAGTTTTATGCCAGGTGATCCATCTGTAGCCTGTTTGCAGTGTATCTCTTGATTCCTGGTCAACTAAAGGAGGTTTACGATGTGGCCTCCATTCTTAGCAATATTTCCCTACCTTAAACAGGAGAACAAAGCTCCTTTTTTCAAGAAAATATATGGCTGGTGGTCTTGTTTCTGATTTCTCTGCTGATGGGACAACATTTCATTAGTAACTATGCTTATCAATTCCAAGAATGCTGCCATGATATAACTGCTCTGGGATGAGATTTTGTTAAGCTTAGAACAACAAAGTCGGGTTTCTCCCTTCAGCAGGTCCCTGTGGGCATCCCCCAAAGCATCAACACAGCTTGAAAAGCAAATTTTCAGAATAGTATCTCACGTGTTGGCCTCTGCTTGGAGGGATATTTAGATAGAAGTGGGTCACATTTTCAAGTTTTTGATTGCTTTTACAAGAAGGGATATGTTAAAGGACCCAGATCTTCTCTGGAGAAAGTGCTTCCAGTACTACTGTGCTGTGAAGAAGACACAAACCTCCCAGCTGCTGGGGGGTGAGAGAAAACCTTTTCCTTCTCCATGCACAAGACCTGCACTACTCCACCGAGCAGTCTGCAGTCTGTCCTACAGACAGCAGCATGGAAGGAATTAGGTGCAAACATGAAGACTGGATCCAGGTGACAACATTTCTCTGGCCACTCGTACTAACTTAAAAAATCAAACAAAAGAAAAGAAGGCAAAAAGAAGCAGCAGCAGCAAGCCGAAAACCTCAGAGGGCACCTGACATAAACAGGAGCATTTGCTGTGGGAAGGGGAACCAGTTTCCTGTAAAAAGGATTCTAGCCAGGAGAAATCTTAATCTATTGCATGTCAAAAGATTTGTGCTGGAAAACATCTCTGTTCTTTTCTTCCAGTATGTTTTGTCATCTTGTGCTCTGGAAACATCTTGAATAGCTGTTAATAATTTATATGTTACACTAGCTATGAAATCACCTGACTGTCAGCATGGCTTTGAAACAGAGTCCCTGGGTCTGCCCTGGATAATGAAGGGAACTACTGAATCTGCCAGGTACCAATAGGTTTTGCTTTTATTTCTTGCAACGATGATATGCAATGATATGCAGCCTGTCAGGACATGATTCATCTGTGGGCACTTGAAAGCAGACTTAGACTGGCAAAAAAACACAGCCTGATGAATCTATCTGGCCCTTGGATACATTGACCACTTGGGTTAACAGCCTAAAACTGCTCACTGAAGTAACCCTTGCACTGGATCAGGAAGACTCCACATATTTTTTGTGCAGTGTTTCCCTGCCAGAGAAGATTATAATTTACTAGTCCCATTTAGGTCCTAGAACTCAGCTGCTAAGTTTGCAACCTCAGCCACATCCCATCATGGCCCTAAGTGACCCACCTTCAAAACTGCCTGGGTGACACTGAATGGGCTGCGATAAGATGCCACTAATAAAAGCTCTTTTGAAAACTTCAGAGAAAAATGCTACTTAATAGCAAATTGTTACTGCCCTTATTTTCAAAAAATCTATTTTCCTTACCAAGGACTTTCACTCTGAATAGCTCAGCAGGGCTTTTCCTGCAGACTTATTGTACTTTAAAAATGCAAAATTTGCATAGATCATCATGCAGAGAAGGCCACAAGCAGAGGAAAGAGAAAGAAAGGTACAGGCTGGGGGTAATGTAAGGAAAGGAACAGATAGGACAGTTGGAGTTGGAGGAAAGATGCATGAAAAAGGAGAGAAACAGAAATGAAGTGGAAAGGGAAAGCAAAGGGTGTCTGTCATTCCACTGACTTCAGCAATGCAAAGATACCATCCACTGCTGCTGTTTAATTGGAGGGCCAATTATAGTATAATATTTGCAAAAGGGAAGGTGAAGGATTTCTTATCTCTGCTGGGACTGAATCTCCTTTTTCAACAGCCTCTGTGGGAGCCTTTGCTGGCATGTGCTGCCAGCCAGGGCACAGGGCTGGTGGGCAGCAGCTTGCATCTTTCGAATGCAGGCGTTCTACCAGGGACAACCACTCGATCTTTCTAAAGAGTGCAAGGCCCTGCAGGAAAAACGACCATTGACTTTCTGTGGATTTACAGCAAACTATCATAAAGTGTCTTCTGCAGAAGTTTGTGTGGTGCAAACAGAGCTGTTACTCCACACTCGTGGCGTGTGCATGTTATCGGCCGTGCACACCTCAAAGCGGTTTGGGCATCACTCTCCTCAACACCCAAGGAGCCGATTAGCCTAGATGACACTGAGCGGGCTGCAGTGCACATGGTTTTTTTCTTCTTTTTTATTTTCTGTATCAAAATGACATCGAAGACAGAGGATCTGTCGCCGTGCAAAGGCGAGGGTGCCCTCTATTGTCACCGTGGTCTCCAGCACCTTCCCTCCTTCCTGCAAGTGCCCTGAAGAGATGCCTCTCATCTCGCAGCCTCTCCTTTAATTTCCTTTCCTTGTTGCATGGTGGTGGCAACCCCAAAGGATTTAATATAGTTCAAGCATAGGTTGTCTGTATCTCTCCAACTGAAAACTAACAGGGAATGCTGCAGCGGCTGGATTTCACAAGCACCTGATCCTCGACAAGGCCAGAGTCACACAAATTGTCTTGAGAATGAACATCTGGGTATAAGAATGGCGTGAGGTGCAAATATGTATTATATTGAATGGCTTAATACCAGGGGATGTCGGAGGCCCCAGAGGCCTGCCCGGGGCCTTGCCCGAGGGGCCCTCTGAGCAAGCACGGAGGAGCATGCTGAGCCTCCCTCTCGCCTCCACTGCTTGCTGGGCAGGAATCGGGCTGAAGTCCTCTCAGTATCCTATTTATTTAGAAAACAAACAGGAAAAAGTGTCACTGCGCCCACGTGGCAGTTGGAAGAGAGAAGTTCCAGCACAGAGTCAGGACGCAGTGGAGGCGTCTGTTCTCAACCACACGCAATCTTTGTTCTCAACCACACACGAATTACAAACGCTCCAACGTGCACCAAGGCCTGTGCCGGGAAATCCCCACCGTCCCAAGCCCCGAGGGCCGCAGCGACTCCCGCCCTGAGGCCGCCCGGCGCCGCCATGACACCGCCAGCGGCCCCGGGCTCCTGCCCAATGGGGTGTCCCCGTCGCCATAGCAACAAGCGGCTTGGAGGCGAGTGGCGGGCAGCCGGCGTTCCCCCTATCGGACGCGCCTCGGGGGCGGGACCGCGCTCTGATTGGTGCTCGTCGCAACGAGGGGCGGGCTGTTCCCCCTCGGGTTTCCCTTCGCAATGGGGGGGACCCGCCTCCTCATTGGCTGCTGCCGTTGCCCCGGCGACGGGAGGACGCGGCGCGGCCTAGCCCCGGCTGGTCCCGCGGGAGGCCCCGCCGCCATGGCGCAGGCCAGAGGCCGGCTGGCCAAGGA